CCGGTTTGGTAGATTTGATGAACTGGTTCTACCGAATAGGTGCGAACTGGTAGGAACCCACCTCTGATTCCCATCCTAATACAGAAGATTCTCAAAGTGAATATAAAGATAAAACCAGAAACTTTTCTTTTGGGGAAAAAGAAATTTGGAACTTTGATAGTATATATGTTGACGGCAGCAAGATTATTTTATGCACAAAAATGAAAAGATACTTTGATTCCCACAATGGATGAACGAATGGCTGCAGAAGTTGGTGGAGTTAGCAGAGATGCTGAAACTGACTGCTTTGATTAAGGGAAAAAACACGATTATTATTTTTCATACTTGGAAACCACTTCTGGATTTTCTGCTTGAAGTGGGGAAAAATGAAACTTTGATTTTGGATTTTACTGATTAGATAAGCTTTTTGTTATAGAAGTGGCTAGTTTATAGTATTAAGTAAAAGTAAAGGTTCCTCTTGCACATTATGTGCTAGTCGTTCCCAACTCTAGGGGATGGTGCTCATCTCTGTTTCTAAGCCAAAGAGCCAGCGCTGTCCAAAGACGTCTCCGTAGTTATGTGGCCAGCATGACTAAATGCCGAAGGCCCATGGAACACTGTTACCTTCCCACCAAAGGTGGTCCCTATTTTTCTACTTGCATTTTTTATGTTCTTTTGAACTGCTAGGTTGGCAGAAGCTGGGACAAATAACGGGAGCTCACTCCATTACGTGGTGTTAGGGATTCGAACTGCTGAACAAGCTCATCGTCTTAGCCACTGAGCCACCACATCTCCTGTTTATAGTGTTATGTAAAAGTAAAAAATTGAGATTTGATGTTATTATCACCCTACTGCACCAAAGGAAGTCAAAAGTCAATGCTTTTTCTTTCTTTTTCCCCTTTCTCCTGCACTTTTCTCTTCCCTAACTTCCCTACTATTTTATTTTGTACTTTTATATATTTCTATTTTAAAGAGAGAAACACTGCCCTGGATCCATCTCATGTGCCTGCCTCTTGCATTTTCCCTCTCCAGGTCTCCAGGGGACTCCTGAAGCAGATAGTTTCTTCGGCGCTGCCATCCGTTTCCTCGGTGACGCTTACGTGGCCCAAGCCAGCACCGAAGGGGGGATCGTGACCCTTGGCGTTTCGCCCACCTACAAGGCCGCCTGGCCGGCCATCCGCGAGTTGTGGTTTCTGGGGATGCAGGCCTTTGCTAGCTGCGTGCCTCTCTTCCTGTGGCTGCCCCAGGACGTCCTGCGTTCTGGCTGGCTGCAGGACCTCCTGGCTTTGCTGGGCCGCGTTATCCCATCCTCCGTGGATATGGAGGTGGCGAGGGCTTACCAGGGGGTCTTGGTGGAGCTGGCCAGAGCCAGCCAGCCATGCTTGGAGAGAATCCAGCAGCACCGGGGTTTGGAGCTGGCCAGTCTGTACGGCATGGCCGCCTTAGAACAGTGTCTCTCCGAGCAGTGAGCGTGCTCGGGAATAGGTGGTGGGAGAAAAGTACGTTCTCCCGGAAGTTGCAGCTTCCTTCTGTGTCCTGCAGGGGGCAGCTTTGTGGTAGGGGGAGATAGTGTATGTCCGGCCTCTCTTCTTCCCTAAGTAGCTTGCACAAAGTTATACCGTGTAATAGGGGCTGGTTTATTTCTTTGCCATTCTTTGTATTTTATTTATTTATTTATTGGGGGGGGGGGGTTGTCATTCTGCCTTCTTTCCAGGTGGCAGAAGACTCCCAAGGCAGCTCAGATCTAACACACACACATACACACACACAAACAAGAGGCAAGCTTTTGCAAAGTTTAGAGATGATCACAAAGCAACTCAAAATCCATCAAAGGGCTGATGATGATGATCATGCAACGATTAAACTATCCAGCCCCCCACCAACATAGTGTTCATTAAAAGATTGGGGGGGAGAGATATGTGTGTGTGTGTTGGCAGGGTGGGTTGGGGGTGGGGGAGTCTTTAAAGCCCCCTTTTTTAAAGAGAAAAAGAATAAATAAATAGCTGAAGAGGTGCCAAATATTTGTCGCTCGGAGTTCCATGAAGACGGGACCACCACTTTAAAAAAAAAAAGAGGAGGGGGGGGAAAGGGCAAACGAGGTGTCTCCGTGCATGTTTTGTAGCTCTCTGTGATCTCGTAGAGTAATATGAAGCAAAAGTCTTAACTTGCTGGCAGTAAAAAAAAAGAAAAAAAAAAGCATCAAGCATAATGTATTGCAATGCACATTAGTGCTGCTCCGTTGACTCTTTTAACGCACTGTGAAATGAGATAGATGCTTCTCTGGAGAGAGATTCAACAGATGCTAAAGGAAGTCTGGATTATTTTATTTTTTTTTCTTTTCCTAGCGTGAAGATGTAAAGATGACCTCGGCATAATGTTTGAACCCCAAGTGTCCTTTGCTAACCTCCGTCCTACTTGGATAGGCTCCAAGAATTTCCTTAAGTGTGGGAAGTCCTCAAAAAGAAACCAATTCTTGTCTCAGGTCTCTGTCATGGTTGAAGCTTTCCTCTCAAAGGAAGAGGGGAAACGCGGCACACCTTTATTTGAATGTAATTATGTCTGTCCCACTTCGAATAGTACAAATCTTTCCAAAATAATCTGCAGGGGAAAAAAAAAAATCAAATGACCAAGAATGATACTTTTCTCAAAAGGCAGCTAGTGCCAAATTATATTTTCTTTGGGTTGTGGCAGGGGAGGGGGTAGGTGGGTGGGTGGGGAGTGATTTCTCGGATGTTTATAATAATAACTTGCACACAACAGCTTACACAAATTTAAACTTTGTGTGATTTTCAAACTTGAAGGTTGGGTGGACTTCAACTCCCAGAATCCCTCAGCCTATGCTGGCTAGGGAATTCTGGGAGTCGAAATCCGCTCACCTTAAAAGTTGCCAAGTTTTGAAAAGCACCGATCTGAACCTAGAACAATCATGAAAATCTACGGAAAGCAATCCTGATTGGGACTGGTTTTATCAATGAAAAGCAGGATAAGAAGTTTTTTTTCATTTTATTTCTTTTTTTAAGGAAATCATCCTACAAAGAAACGGTGAGCAGTTCGGGGGAAGGTGGGTGAAATACCTGTTTCCCCCCCCCTCTCCTGCCCCACCCGTAAGGGGGCCGGGTGGAGGAGGGAGGTTGGGCACTAAAGCAGCCTTCCTGTGAAAAGAACACGATGGGTTCCCTAGGGCCAATATATCAAAGTGGGATGTAGACTCTCTGGATTGTGGTTGTTTGCTTCTTCGTGTTCTTCAGCATGTGAGCTCTTGCATGCAGCTGGTAACTATTGCAGTACCGTGTTCTTGAATTGGAGGATGGTTCAGCCTGTGAAGCTGTGGCCTTGAGTTGTTCTCCTGGTGTTTTCCGGTTCCGTAAATAAAAGTGGTTTGTCTTGTTATGAGCGCCTGGCTGTTCCTTCTCTTCTTCATCGGGGAGATGTCTCTGTGGAGCCAACACTCCAAACTTTTGAAAGTTTCAAGGGGTTTGTTAGATTTTTATCCCATTTGCAATTCAACGGGTGGGGGAGGTGTGAACCAGTGGTGGGATTCAAATAATTTAACAGCCGGTTCTCTGCCCTACTGATTTCTTCCAACAACCAGTTCACCAAACTGCTCAGAAAGTTAACAGCCAGTTCTCCCGAAGTGGTGCGAACTGGCTGAATCCCAACACTGGGGTGAATAGACGTAACGCAGATAGTCCTTGACTTACAACAGTTCACTTAGTCTGTTCTGACCTAGGCTTCCCCAGCAGCACAAAGCCGAGTCTTTGTCTCAATAAGCCCCTTTTATTTAATTTACAGTGAATTCCTCTCCAGCAAAGTCTTTCCTCTCCCACAGTCTTTCAAGATAGTTCATAATTACCAACCTTTATCAGGCTTGGAGAGGGGCCAGGCCGATATCTTTTAAACGCCGCAATACTTGGCAAGAAT